GCTGGAATGGGTAATGTGCTTGCCCAGCAAACATCGACTCGGCCAAATGATGGGGGCATACGCCATGGAATTGAGAAAACATGGAGATACCATTGTAGCGGAATTTCTTAGTTTCTGTGCTGGTGATATGCATTGAGTTCTGTATGTTCGGGCTTGGTCGAGAGGCCGTTGGGAAATCGTCGAATCAAAGCTGCTATTATGAGGTCGCGCATTGGCTGATTTGTATATCTTGAAACGAAGACCTCGTATCGGAGTATCGATGATGGATTATTCTCTCTATGGTCGTTCCGGAAATCTGTTTGGTTTCAATGGCGGCGGCTACCGGGGCTCTGTCGGGCCAGACGTATGAGGAACGGGAGATATCTGAGGACGAGTCAGAGGAGGCCGAGGAGATACTCGGGATATCTGCCAGTGATATGGAAGACCAAAGAATTGTGGTAAGAAAATGATTATCCTGGGAATCGAGCCGGAGTCTGTCGATCATGATCCAGGGTTTACATCCATTAGACTGTATCAGCATGTTGATTTAGGATTTCATCAGAAATAGCATGTCGCGTAACTATTACGCTTCTCGAGAGTGGACCGATGAGTTCTACACCCTGCAGGCGTACATTGGTTGTATAGCTGTGTCTTATCAGAATCGCCTCCTTATGCCAGAGATGCAAAAGAGGTGAGCAACCGTACCATTTTCTTGATCATCATCATCATCGAGGCGGCGGTAGTAGATACTGCATGCTCGACTTCTCCAACTTACACATACCCAAGAAGATTCGCAAAGCCATTCGGCGCTTAGATCCTGGCGAGCTTACTTTCCGGGCGACGCGGGATCCCAGCGGTGCGGCTATAGAACGCGTTATCAAAGGTATCGCGCGGGCGAATGGGAAGGATAATTGGCTCGGGACGAAGTAAGCTCTTTGCGGTTCCGGGTTCGACCCCGGCAGGTCTCGTTTTTCTATCGAGGTACGTGTCTATATTGAAACGGATGAACCAGCGCGGGCCCATCCCAGTAGGCGACTCAGCCTTTGAAGTTGAGTGTGTCGAGGTTCTCGATTCGAGCGGGAAGCTACTGGCTGGAGAGGTTGGGTACACGATGGGGGCTGTTTATACCTCCCTGTCTGGTTTTGTCGACAGAAGAGATCCACACTGCTGCCACCGAGCTGTCGGGCTTCTCCAAATGATCGCTCTTGCGAAGGTTCTCGAGGACAGTGGATACGACTTTTGGAATCTTGGTCACCCACCGCGCGGAGAGCAAATGCGATACAAAATAGATATTGGTGGGAATGTCTTGGCTAGAGGAGATTTCTTATTGCGGTGGGACGTTGGTCGGTCAAAGAGACCCCAGAAACGATTGTCTTCACAGGACCCTATTTGTATCAAGAGTTTGTTACAAGTTTCTTAGCCCAAGCGTTTGCGTTGCGTATGTCGAGTAACACATCAGTGTAATCCACGCTCATGAACCTCGAACAAGATAATCTAACGAGAAAACCACACAGTGTGATGGTATGTCATCACATGTCTAAGGAATCTGTATCAACTGTATTCAGTAGTCTACGGTATCGAATTTCGTAGTGGCAGAACCCGTCAGAAGCGAGTATTGTACACGCAGTGTGGGGAGGAGGAAATACAAGTTGTATCCTTTTCAAGGGAAAGATGAAGTGTGAAGTGTCCTAGAGTTCCAGCGGAAATTTTCGTGTCATCAGTGAGTAGATCACCGAGAGTAGTATCCTATATTGCTTATCGGTATAATATGGACTTACAACTCATCATCAAAAGAACCAGGAGAGAGGCAACGTCGTCGAGATATTATAGTGAAAAACCGGG